AAATCTCTAGACTGCCAAGTTAGTGTCTATTGAACTGTATTCGTTACTTCAATCAATTCGAGGCCACATTCAACCTTTTTCCAAAGTCATCGGTAATACTTTTCTCATATCAGCCCCATTCCTTGATATGAATATTCCTGTATTACATTGAAACAGTTGTTCATTACTCTGTAATTTTTAGTAGCTTTCTAACTAATGTTAGTCTATGTTGTGAACTAAAACATTCAACAATCAACATAAACCCCTCTATATCAATATTATACCGTTTACTAATGGCGTATAGAATAAAGTCACTTTATCATGTTCACAAAAAATTCTTCATCAAGTAAGCATGTATTTGATTAGATTTTCTTTCTTTTTAACAGGAATCGTATACAATTATTTCCAATTTGTAAACTAATTCATTTTTCTTTTTAGTAATAATACGTAAATGTTGTACTCAGGGTTAACGAATAAACACTACGATAAGATTAGCACTGGTTTCTAGTTTAAAGTAAATCTGATTACGCTATAAGCCATTGATTTACATAAACTTTAGGATGTCATTTGACGAAATTTGATATACCAATATATACCACTCCCATACAGGTATCTTTCATTACACATTGACATATCATAAACTGAGAACTTCTCTGCTTTTCCAACTAATATATCTAGAGCTTAGATTCTTAATATACAGAGTATAACTTGAGCACTCGAACACTAGAACCCTCCAAGACAGAAGACAAGTGAAAGGAATGCTATTCTAAACAGTGTCAAATTTGGTACAAAACTACCAGGTATTTATAGTTTTCTAGTAAAATCGAAATCATCATTATAGTCATCCAATCCGCATTTGTCCAATAGGGGCGTTACACGTAGAGATTCTTGAGTGTTCTTCCAAAAGATGATTAGGTGGAATATCTTCGTCTCTTTCTGAGCTTCTGGGAGCTTCCTCGAGTTCACCCGTGGGCCGTTCACACACCTCTCCTCTTTAAAGTCTATTGTGTAAGACCTTTTCTTCGGGTCCACTTGAAACTTGTTTACCACATTCCTCTTGCGGTCCATCACTCTTGAAAGTTGTGCCGCCTTGCCCTTACATCTTTTATCTCTTCTACACTCGTCCTCCTTAGGGTAGTTTCGAGATGAATATACGAGCATTTGAAACAGGAGTCGGCTTTGTGTGATCAATGTTCTACCATCCCTTTGAATTTGATTTATGTGTCTTATACATATTCCGACATTTCTCCGAACTAAGTACGGTGCATTTCCAGTCCGATGTTCTATAACCCCTGGTTCCCACTTCCTATCAGCTTGATACGACTTGACAAGTACCCTTCCGACCACCTGGAAGCTGTGAGTGACCGTCCGATATTCGTTCATGGGTTCAGTTCATGATTTCAGTTAAATCCATCAATCTCTACAGTCCTATACTGACAAAATAAATATGTTGCTATTTATTGCTCCATCATTCTTGTAGTAATAATCTTAAATGTGAAGGTGCAACCTACATTTTATAATTTACATCACGAACAGACCTTAGATAATCGTTGAGAACGAGGAAGAACTGAATATCTTTCAACGGGTATCTAAGGTCAGCCAGTAAGTGATGTGAAAAATAAAATTCATCAATCTCTACAAACCCTTTGTAAAACTTATACGTCAGTCTGTGAGGCGGATTTGCATGGAAAGTAATAGGCATTTGTTCAGATTTTTATTCAGATCATTTAATATTCCCTCTTCAGAAACAAATCATTTTTCAACAACATCAAGTATGAAACAGAAAGATGACAGTTTTGTAGAATAGGTAACTAAAGATTAAATATTTCACAAAATATCAAGTAAACTGAATTAACCTTTACCTAATAAGCTGCATTACGATTTCGACTGACAATTAATCATAGGAAGTGATGCTTACTTGAATGTTGTGTCATTACATTAGTTGTCTTGGATTAATTAAATGCAAAAATGTTTATTTACCAGATAATTTGACAACTAGATAGCATTTCGTAAAACCGAAAAGCCCCCAAATGCCCTGGTACGACCGAAGGTGGGGAGAGTTAGCTCTCCCTCTCCAGGGAGATATGGAGGGTCAACGTAGGGGAGTTGAAAAACCGATTCCAAAACGACGGTGCACGTGGGCTCCAGGGTCCTCAGGAAACAAATGACGTATGAACGAATTACTGGTCATCGACTATGATGGAACTGCATCTCCTTATGTTGTTCCACTGCCTTGTGAATTTAACCTTTGGGTCAAAGGCTCCGAGTGTCATCCCCTAAGAAATTCGCTTGCTTCGGTTTGGGCATCCGGACGGTGTCCCAGCCCTCACACAAATCGGATGATTTATGTGACACATATATACTCGGTGCCCCTTTGTACTAATGTTTATGTGTTCAAATAAATAAATAAATCTAAATATTATAAAGCTTAAAATTCATTATTAGTGTAGATAAAAAAGAATATTGTAGTGAAAAGCACCAAGATATTGATACAGAATAAAGCGTATATCATAATTTAACTGAAGGGTCTAGAACTACGACAAAATAATAAGTTCTTCAGTGAATCGAACAACGGTAAACAACACAGATGAAAGCAACCAGGCTATAAAAGTAGTAACTCAATCATTTTTTGTTGAGATCGTGAACCGATCTAAGTTAGACCACCATTGAAAACCTGGAAGCACTGAATGGTCGTTTTGTCCAAATATGGGAATCTTTACCAGTGAACATCCATGACCCCACAAGCAGGAATCGAACCCATCACCTTCTCTGTCGGACGCGAACGCTTAACCTGTAAACCACTGAGCTGGCATACAATGGTGTTAGTGTCTAATTTCAATCATTTTCGGATCGCTATTAGTTTTTCAAATGACTTTAATTGATGTTATGAAACTGAATTTAATATATTAATTATTGTTAAAGGTTCCACATATTTATGAATAATTTCTATCTTTGATCTTATAGTCTCTAAATATCAGTAGTTTGAAGTACATCCACTTATGATAAATTTACAAATGTGTTAAAATTATGATAAACCTAATTTGTCTGTAACACACTTTAAGTTTAAACAAACTTGGTTTTAATAGAAATTTTCTCAAAGTTAACCAAAAATGACCTTGGTAATGTGTGCCAAAAAAACATGAAACTTTATATATTTATATATAAACTAATTTCATGTTTGCCAAGGTCCTAGTGTTGATTAGATCCTGTTCATCCAATTCTATGAGAAGTGTCCATTACCTCAACACTGATAGTGCGTGTAAAGTACAAGTAATAATTATCAGCAAACCAAGATACATGTTTTCCTGAACATTCCCTCCAACCAACTAGCATACTTACACAGACACATGTTCGTAAGCTTGAAAAAGGACTTAGAAATTGTACGAACCAAATTATTTTAAGGAAAATAAATTTGTTTCCAACCACCCAGATTATCAGTAGAATAATTAAAGTCTAAATTGATTTTATGTTTATTTATTATCAATGTTTATCAAAATTAAATCTATAAGTTGTTGTAAAAAGAGCATCACTAGAACGCGTTAAAAAGAGGTTGATAGACATAACTAAAAATAAAATTCACCCCAGCAATGTTAACCTTTAGGCTATTTCAGTGAACGAGAACTGAGGTGGGGTAAACCAAATTATTGTTTAATGTGAAAGTACAGAGTACTTTTGTAAAATGTGAAACCATACATAAAATACTTCATTTACAAATCGTCCATCAATTGTCCATTACATCCTTCATAATTCTTGCTTTTCTCAATTCCTTTATGTTTTCTTTACCGTAATCTTAACATTTTTTTACAGGCATTCAATTTTTGATTGATGTTACATGCTACTTATGTGTGTTGACATAAGTATCCTACACTACACTATGAGCAAAGTGCCTATTTTATTAACTAGCTAAATTTATTGTACGTACAACAATAGTACTTTGTACTTAGAGGTAAGAAAGTTGTCATTGAATCGATTCTCAAATAAGAAAACAATAGCAGTTTACGATAAAATAAACAATAGCATAGAAATTCATGAATACATATAAGTTTCCCTAGTACTGAATTTCACATACACTAATCTAATAATTTTTTTAGACTTCAAATCTAATCAGCTATCAGAATGAGCGTCCAGTACTTCTAGACACTCAAAGTTAGCTTAACTTAGATCAGTTCACGATATTAACAAGGTTAAATAATTTCAACAACTCTATATTGAGTACCATTTTCAATATAAAAATTAAAAATATCTGTACATATCATTGATTTACTATTGTCTATTCTATAAAAACACTATAGAATCCGATGCAATATATGATTCCATTATTATCACAATTTTGAATAGAATAAAAATAATTATAATCGGAGAAGGGTTTTTGTAGAGATTATAGTAATTTTAATAATTGAATTTATGAATCAATTAAAACTAGACCACCATAGAAAACATGGAAACACTGGACGGCCATTTCATACTAGTATAGGACTCCTCAGCAATATATATCCACAATCCCACCATGTGAGTCTCATACTACAACGAAACGGCCATTCAATGCTTCCAGATTTTCTCTAGTGGTCTAGCTTCAATTAACTTATGAATTCAACTATTAAAATAAAAATAATTATTTGATTCTTTTGTTAAGTTGAAAAATTCATATTTAAATTAAACTAGAATAAAGAATATGGAAAATTTTTGTCTAGACTAAACGAATAATAATGATAATAATAGTATAAATCAATCAATGTACAATATAGTATAACTGAATATTCATTTTGAAAAGACTTCTTTCACCCATCTACTTACAATTCTTTATATCAATTATTTAAGAAAAAATAAATAAATATCAATTACCTAAATGTATGAATATATATCTATATTAAGATCAAATATATTCTAGATAAGATGGATAAATAAATAATGGAACTTGAAAAGAAAATTCAATAACTGTATAAATGAATAGAATAAATGTACACATATATGTATACATCCATACATACATACATACACACACAAAGAAAAGAAACACTTACCTTATTTTTAGTACGTCTAATATCAAATGCAAGTCGATGGCATAAATCATATAATTTACGTCCTGAAGGACTTAATTTATACAAATCAGGAAATATTTGTGATTCTGATTGAGTTAAAAGTAATTTAAAAATAGGTGAAAAAAATGATACTGATGTATGAGGAGGATTAGATGATTTTTCATTTAATAATGACTTTTTATCGTTATCATTATTATTATTATTATCATTGTTATTATTATATATATTACAAAATAATAAATTATCCTTGGGAAGATTCTCTACAGAAGTATACATATCGGATGGTTCAGCAAATTTCTCAATCAAATTATTTATGATCATTTCAGCTTGTTCAATTTTCATTTCAGCATAAACACATTTAATTGCATCAATTAAACTTTCCACATTATCATTATTGTTGTTATTATTATTATTATTATTATCATGAGTAGTATTAGTATCGTTTTTATCACAGAAATAAGAGATATTAGACAAATTGTCATTTGATAATATTTCTTTATTACAACACTTTGAAATTAGTTGATCATCAGTTTGTACTCCAATACTGACAAATAATGATTTTTGTTTATTCATTATTGACGGCAAGTATTGATCGACATCACCATCGTCATCATCATCATCATCATTATCACCGTTTTTATTATTATTATTATCAATATTTCGTGTAAGCGATATTTCATTAGATATGCATGAATCATTTATTGGTAATAGATTACTTTTTAAATAGGAATGATTAGTTAACATTGTTGAAATATCGTTACTGTTCTGATGAATACCATTTGTATTCATCAGTTTATTTTGTGAAGTTTCTTGTTCTAGACTATAATGATAATTTATTGAATGCGAATTCAAATAAGGATAATGGCATGTTTTAGTAGACCAACCATTTGATTTAATTTCATTTTTTGAAATACATTGTACTTCCATTGAAATAGCAGGTTTAGTAAATGAATCTATAATACAGAAAAGAAAAAGAAATAAGGAGTCATAAAACGCACTATTATTATTGTTATAAATATTACACTTAACATTAATTCGAGTAATTTTCACTAAGAACTGATGAGGTCACTACAATATTAAAAATTCTTAGACTGAATCTTGTGTAAGCTCGTGAGTGAGTAAAAATGAGTAACTGTAAACAAAGACGGTAATCCGATCGATATCAGTTCATGATTTTAAAAAGATCACCAAACGAAGTAAATTTTTATTAAATAAATTGATCATGAGTAGCATTGGAAATCAGGACTGACTTTTCGTCCTATTCAGGCTTCGTCAGTTGGAACATCAACAATAAGATAATTCAAATCACTACTAAAAATAATTTAGACATCATGCCTGTTCCTCAAGCTAGTGGTTACCTGAATTTATTAGCTCAGTGAACAACACTTTGGTAGTCTGAATCAAAATGTGTTGTATTCGAGTCCCACTGTAAACATTAACACTGAGTTATAAGTACATTTAGCCGACAAGTTCCAAATAGAACAAAATGCGTGTCCTAGTTTTGGCTGTTAGCGATAACTGAACAAAATGGTTTGAAAAAAGATGATAAAGAACGAAACCTAATGATCTAATTTTTCTAATTTTTTCGTAATAGCACCTCATTTCTCCAAAGTTTACATCAATCAATCACATTTATAGAGCCTGACACGTATGTGTTGAGCCAAGTCGTTATATCATATTTACACAACCGAACGAAATTGACAACTGAATAGCAAAAACTGACTGAACTAAGAGAGTAGAAATGATAAAAAGAAAAACTGAAAATTTGGAATATGATTTAAAAAGATAGTGTGGAAGATTGTACATAGAGAAATACTGGAATTCGAAATCAAGAGGACAATAGAAGATGATTGCGTAATATCGTGGATTGATTGAACTTAGACATTAAAACCATTGGAGGCCAGCTCAGTGGTCTACAGGTCAAACGTTCGTGTCCGAAACAGAAGACGATGGGTTCGATTTATTCTTGTGGGATTATAGATGCCCATTGGTAAGGATTCCAATATTACGACAAAACGACCATTCAATGCTTCCAGCTTTTCAGTGGCGGTCTAACATTGGTTTGTTTATGATTTCAATGATAGTCAACAATCTCCCTAACCCTATTATGAAACTTGAAATTTACTATTGAACAACTTAAAGTGAAACATCACAGAAATAGACAATTTATATTTATTCTTGTTGATCGCATTACTACTGTACACTATTACTGTATTTATTTAAACTTGAAATGGAGTCTAAACAACTATTTTGTCATTTATCTTTATTTTTCGAATTTGGTTAATTATTACTATTATTATATCATTTTTCACTTGTTTATCTTAAAATAAATTCGAATATTTTACTTCTAACACTTTCCTATTATCTAAGATTGTACTAATTTCAAATGTAACAATTTGGATTAATACATGTTTATGTCATATCGTTTGTTTATAGCTGATTTAGATCTAGAATAAACATTTGTGAATTAAATGAATCTTGAGTATCGATTGGATAACCCTATATTATCCTAACGAACTTAAAGAACATAGAGAATGATCTTGAAAGAGTTATGCTCCGTTAATATATACAAAGAACAATTAAATTACTCGTTCAATCAATTAAATAGGTCTAAACAAATTCAATAATTTTATATCACAGTATTTTTATCATAGAAACTCATGAATTTAACAATAGATTAGTTTATATTTCAATCAGTTATTACATAATAAATAATTTCATAAAATATTTCCCCTAGTTTTCATAATTTTTTTTTAAGTGAAAGCACTCGGTCAGTCAGTCAGGAACAACGTAGAACTTCTTACATACGTACATCAGTTCAAGTTGCCATACCACATTAACCCACAGATACAATTGTCCATTCAAATCACATAGTGGTAGAGACAATAAGAGTATAAGTAGTAATCGGAAAGATTAGGGTTTAAAGTTGATATTCAAGGAGTATAATCCAGTGAAATAAATTCGGAAAAAGAAAAAATAAGGGACATGAAGAATTCAGAATATTAGAATTTGGGAGAACACAAAGAGTGAAGTCACCTTCATCATTTCAAACAATTTTGAGCCATGTCATTCAAGATCTTTAACTATCGGTTCTTATCGTCTCGAGGATCCCAATCAGTTAGTCTACACCTACCAACATTGTATCAGTCCGCTTGTCAGTAACTATTAAATATTGATGAAATGACGTTGTGATAACACTTTCAAAACTATGTATTTGAAAATTCTGATCTTTTCAAATATTTGTGTTACATAAGACAGTGTATTAGTAATACCATCATTTTCTTGAAAATTCATTTTGAACAAAGGAAAGTGAAAAAAATTCTTATCATTATTATAATAAAAAATAAGGCTACAACATAAGAAATAATCCATTCTGTATTATTTTGGTTATCGACTACCGTTAAAATATATTATTACACAAGATGTTGAGTCAGAGACTAGTTGTACCATTGTAACTTGCTCAATAATACTCGATCATCACTAAGGGCTAGATAAACATGATATTGACTAATACTCGGTGATCAATCAATGAATATGCTTCCGTTGTAAAACGAATAGCTCTGTGGTGACTTATCAGAATGTGGAATTAGTTGATGTTGATGACTGTTAACCAGAAGAAAACCTAGTTCAAATACGGTTTTCTGTGTAATATATTCAACTGCCTTACATCAAATTTAAACGACCTACTTAAATAATTTAGATATTTTGCGAAATATACACACAAATCACATAAGCAGGAGCAGTAATTCCATGAGTGAAAAACAACATTGCAGAATAAAGGTTTCTGTAATGGTGTCTGTCCAAGCTAGACTTTATTCCCTATAAGATACTTAGCTAAATTAGACAGAAGACAATGATTATGCTCAAATTCTTTCCGAATACTCACAATGAATTGTTTTTTGTAGGACTGTACAGAATAAGTAACTAAAAATAATTAATTATGAATTCTTCATGTTTACAAAGTCCGACTACTTCTATATGCATTTATAACTACTCCCGTGAAAACTGATACACAGCCAGAAAGAACTACTAAGGTTGATGTAATTTTATCGAGTATTTTCAAAACCAACGTTGTCTCATTTACCAAATACCGGATATAAAATTGATAGGCAATCAATATTTAACACTACATAGAGTGTGGCAACAAAACTCAAGATTTTTTATTCTCCATCTAATAAATCAAGCGCACAGAAATTCCATATTCGATGTCTTCCCTTCTTACAGCCTTTACCGACCAACGAATCATTCGTGCCTTGGCTGATTTGGGGAATTGTGAACATTACCTCTATGTGTATTCTCATTACTCATTCCTCGTTACTATTATTACCAATCTCCATGAATACATTATTCATATAGTTAATTGATTATTCATTTGTTTTGTTTTTCCTCTACCCTACACACGTGTATGAGTTTTTTTATAAACAGTGCAAATACTTGCATAACTCTTATTATTATCAGTATAATCATTCTCTAAGTCACTCTATTATCACAATGCTTCAAGTGTTTTAAATGAATATCCCTTTTCGTAATTGTAAAAGTTGATGAACTGTTACTAAATATACTGACTTACTTTGATTGAGTTTTATTCTCTAAGCTGAATGATTTGGTCGTGGAGCTTTCATCGTTCTTCTGAACGACATCATTAGCAAAAACTTCAGGTAAACTTCTATACTGACTTACTAAAATTACCATTTTAATTCATCAGAATGTGGAATATTCAAATCTCTATAGTTTATACGTTGTAATTTGTTATTAATAGACTAAAATACTACTAGCCAATTTATTGCTAAAGATGAATGTTAGGTTTTACAATTATAAAGATTTGAAATAAGTTATGTAACTGTTATTTAAATATAATAATTTGAGAATTAAACAGTCATATTTAATCAAATTTCGTCCATTCCACTTATAATTATCATCATCATCATCATCATCACCACTAAGATTTATAATGTAGTACATTATGTTTTATGACCTCGGAAAGATCAATAATTTTTACCATAAGACAAAAAGAACAATCATATAATATAGGGGTTGTGATTTTAGAACTAGTTGTCTATTAAAATAAAAATGATTTGTTCAATTTGAAGATAATGATCATTATAGAATAATATTGGCTGAAAATTATAGAAGCACTAGATCGTTGTTTTATTTTTTTATTAATTATTAATTTCTTTTCTTAATTCAGTATATTAAATTACTGAAAACAATTTTGTTTCAATTTACAACCTGAATTCATTCAAGCTTAAAAAATCTAACACCAATATTAGGATCATTTTATGGTCTCTAAGAAAATACAATAATTTCTGATTGAATTTCATAAGGGATTAATAATCTACATTCTACAATATAAAAAGAATCTCGAATATCAGTAGTTGAAATCATGAGTCAATTGAAGCTAGATTACCATGGAAAACCTGGAAGCACTGGATGTCCGTTTCGTCCTAGTATGGGACTTCTCAAGAGATACTCCTGGATTTCTAGTGAGAAGATGTGACCAGTGGAGTTCAACCAGGTCTGTTGTGAGATATCAGCTCACTGAAGACACTGATGTACGGTGGCGCAGTTTCGTAGATTGATTGAAGTTAGACATTAACACCGTCGTATTCAGGCTGGCTCAGTGGTCTAGTGGTTAAGCGCTCGCGCGCGAGACTGATAGGTCCTCGGCTCGAATCTTGCGGGGGGGCGAGATCGTGGGTGCGCGCTGCTGATGAATCCCACGATGGGACAAAACGGCCGTCCATTGCTACCAGGTTTTCCATGGTGGTCTAGCTTCAATTGACTTATGGTTTTAAGTATTGAGATTACTAAAATCTCCACAAATCCCTTCTGAGAATCTCTAGTGAACTTGAATTTTAACCACTTTATCAAATGATATCAGTTCTTGAAAATTGTTTGAAAATAAAACTATCATCAAAATTGGTAAG